GCTAAATCACCCTCAATCCCATGCCTCCGTATTTTCTGCAATAGCCTACCGTGGGGAACCTTATCAAACGTTTTACTGAAATCCATATACACCACATCAACCGCTTTACCCTCATCCATCTGTTTGGTCACCTTCTCAAAGAACTCAATAAGGTTTGTGAGGCACGACCTACCCTTCACAAAACCGTGTTGACTATCCCTAATCAAATTATTCCTTTCTAGATGATTATAAATCCTCTCTCTTATAATCCTTTCCAACACTTTACCCACAACCGAAGTAAGGCTCACTGGTCTATAATTACCAGGGTTGTCTCTACTCTCCTTCTTCAACAAGGGGACAACATTTGCTAGTCTCCAGTCTTCTGGCACTATTCCTGAAGACAATGACAACATAAGGATCAAAGCTAAAGGCTCTGCAATCTCCTCCCTAGCTTCCCAGAGAATCCGAGGATAAATCCCATCTGGCCCAGGGGACTTATCTATTTTCACACCTTCCAGAATTGCTAACACCTCCTCCTTATGAACCTCAATCCCGTCTAGTCTAATAGCCTGTATCTCAGTATTCTCCTCGACAACATTGTCTTTTTCCTGTGTGAATACTGACGAAAAATATTCATTTAGCGCCTCTCCGATCTCTTCGGACTCCACGCACAACTTCCCACTACTGTCCTTGACCGGCCCTAATCTTACTCTAGTCATTCTTTTATTCCTGACATACCTATAGAAAGCTTTAGCGTTTTCCTTGATCCTACCTGCTAAAGACTTCTCATGTCCCCTCCTGGCTCTTCTTAGCTCTCTTTAGGTCCTTCCTGGCTAACTTGTAACTCTCAAGCGCCCTTACTGAGCCTTCACGCCTCATCTCTACATAAGCCTCCTTCTTCCTCTTGACAAGAGATTCAACTTCTTTAGTAAACCACGGTTCCCTCGCTCGACCACTTCCTCCCTGCCTGACAGGTACCTACTTCTCAAGGACACGCAGTAGCTGTTCAGACACTGAACTGTAGACTTTGCACCAAGGGTCAATTTACAATAGAAATAAAAGTTTGTAAATATTTTGAAATTGAGTTCCAGATGAGAGTTATTGAATTAAGAGTAAGGATGACAGGTAACACTTCTTTTAAGAAAAAAATGGAAATCTGCCCAGAAAATTAAACTCTGGCCTGTTACAGCATTGTGTACGTCAGAAGAAACATTTTTAATATTGTCAGGCTCCCAAAATTGAATGTGATTCACAGAATCAATAACAGTAGAACCTACCTTCGGCAATCATTTATGAACTCGCTCATGTGCCGCTAGGTTGAAGGACCTGGTGAATCGTTTCCCACACACAGAGCAGGTAAATGGTCTCTCTCCAGTGTGAACTCGCTGGTGAATGAGGACAGCAGATGAACACCTGAAACTCTTTCCACAGTAAGTACAGCTGAATGGCTTCTCCTCTGTGTGAATTTGCTGGTGGGACTTGAGAGTTGATGATACAGTGAATCTCTTCCCACACACAGTGCAGGTAAATGGCTTCTCCCCTGTGTGTATTCGCTGGTGAGCTACCAGATTGTGAGATTTTGTGAATGTCTTGCCACACACAGTGCAGGTGAACAGTCCCTCCCCAGTGTGAACTCGCTGGTGGTCATTGAGGCTGTGTGAATGTTTGAACCTCTTTCCACAGTGAGTGCAGCTGAATGGTTTCTCCTCAGAATGAACACGTTGGTGAGTCACCAAGTTGGATGACTTTGAGAATCCCTTCCCACATGTAGAGCAGATGAAGGGCTTCTCCCTGGTGTGAACTCGCTGGTGTTGACTGAGGTCAGATGAAGACCTGAATGTCTTTCCACAGTGGGTACAGATGAATGGCCTCTCCTCAGTGTGAATTCGCTGGTGTAACATGAGAGAGGATGTCTGAGTAAATCCTTTCCCACATACGGGACAGGTGCATGGCTTCTCCTCAGCATGAACTCGCTGGTGTGAACAAAGGCCAGAAGGTCGAGCGAATCCCTTCCTGCACACTGAGCAGGTGAACGGCTTCTCCCCAGTGTGACTGCGTCGATGGACTTCCAATCGGGATGGGTAACTAAATCCTTTCCCACAGTCTGCACATTTCCATGCTTTCTCCATGGTATGGGTGTCTTTGTGTCTCTCCAAGGGAGATGTTCAGTTGAAACCACATCCACACACGGGACATGAGAATGGTTTCCCCACTGTGAACGTTGTGATGTTTTTTAAAATTACGTAACTGGTTAAAGCTCTTTCCACAGTCAGTTCACTGGAACATTCTGTACCTTTCCAGTCTCACTAATGTTTGAAATCTTCTTCCAGAGACACAACTGAGGAACATTTTTCCTTACACATTCAGAAGCTGGTGAGATTCAGCTGTTTATATTTAGTTTGAATCTCCCGTCTGAACATTTTTTCCCTTCAAGAACCTGTAAAGATAAAAAAGTCATCACTGTCAGTACAGGATAGAATTCAGACAATTCCAGTCTGTGTGGAATATTTTTTCCTCTCTTGTTCTCCAAACCTATTTATCTCAGTCCCACACACTCTCACTTCTCCCTGGGCTGAATTCCAAACTCATTTCCGTATTCCCTTCGTCTACTTGCAGGTTTCCTCCTCAATCCTGAGCATGCCCAGAGGACAGTCCAATCTTACATGAGTGCATTAGTCTTTGCATATCACAGTAGATCAGTGCACAGGCACAGTGCTATCACAGTGCAGTGTGAACCCAACTCCCCCCAACAATGTAGCTTTGGGGCCTCCCCCTCCTTCCCAGGAGATGATATCAGTGGTTTAGTGGGAATGGGGTTGAGGGATCAGGTGGGTCTCAGAGACAAGGTGAACTCAGAGAGCGTGTAAGGGGAAAGAAGCTAGAGAAAGGTCCAAAGTCAGGGGCTCAATAAAGTGGGACATCAGAGGAGGTTTAGCCCCAGTGAGTTATGGAAAGGGAAGAAAGCTAAAGAGGCAACTGATTGGATTGTCTCAATCTCGAGTGACAAAGAAGACCATGAGCCCCTCCCTCCTCCACGACTGCTTGTTGTTGGAGGTGAGGATGGAGGAGACAAGGGAGAGGGATACAACAGCAAAAAGAATACACTTGTGATTGAGAAATTAAGAAGATTTAACAAACATATTGTAAAATCTTTAAAACATGGCTGATTTGACTTTTATCCAAAATAATACTGAAACGCAGCTCAGTTTTAGAAATTAACATCAGCGGAAAACAAAACCCCAGTGCCTGAATGTATTTTGCTGTTAATCATAATCAGAACATAGTTCGCCATTCAGTCCCTCTAGTTTGTTCTGCCATTCAATTAGATCATCACAGTGGTTACTTGTGAACTTGCTGGTGTCTGAGCAGGATGGATGAATGAGCAAATCCCTTCCCAGCTAAACAGCTTCTCCTCAGTGTCAGCTCACTGGTAGTCCAGCTGGTTGGGTAAGGTTGCAAATCCATTCCCACACACACAGAGCAGATGAATTGCCTCTCTCCAGCATTCTCTTCCCAGAACATTACACAATACTCCAGCTGAGATCAAACTGCTGTCATGTACAACTTCAACATCACCTCTATAATGTTGTATGCTACACCCCTGTTAATAAAGCCAAGGATACAGCATGCTTTATTAACTGCTCTTTCCACATTTCTTGTCACCCTCAACAACTTATGCACAGAAACTCCTAGATTCTTCCTTTAGAGTTGAACCCTTCATTTTATATTATCGTTCCATGTTTCTCCTATCAAAATGAATAATTCATATTTCTCCGCATTGAACTTTATCTGCTATTATTCCACTCATTCTACCAACTTACCTCTATCTTTTTGACTTTTCAAATTCAACACTACCTTCCTCATAATTTACAATCTTCCAAGTGTTGTACTGTCTGCAAACTTTGAATTGTAACATGTCATTGACATACATCAGGAGAAACAAGGGTCTAAACATTCACTCCTGAGAATCTTCACCACAAACCATTCTCAAGCTTGAAAAAAACATCCATTAACCTTTGGAGCTACTCACTAATCACTACGCTTTGTTTCCTGTCACTCAGCTATTCGAGAACCTAAGTTGCTGCTAAACTTTTACTTCCATGAGCTGTAATTTTTCTCACCTGTCTTAGGTGCAGCACTGTATCAATCACCTTTTGGAAGTCAATGCACCAATCAACAGATTTGCCTTTATCAACCTCTGTTATCTCTTCAAGTTACAACACATGATTTCCCTTGAAAAAGTCTAAGCTGGTTTTCTATGATTTACCTGAATTTATCAATTTAACAGTTAATTTTGTTCAGAATTATTGTTTCTAAAAATTTTGCCACCACTAACATTAAACTGACTGTTCTGTAGTTGCTGCTGATATCTTTACACACCTTTTTGAAGAAGGGTGTAATGTTTGCAATTCTCTAGTCCTCTGGTACTACCTTCAAATTCATGGAAAACTAAAAAATAATGGGAAGTGCCTTTGCAATTTCCACTCATTTCCTTGGATACTCTCATCCAGATTTACTACCTTAATTACTTTATGTGCGGACAGTTATCTGACATCTTCTCCTTATCAATTTTAAACCCTTTTGAATGACTAAACCTTCTCCCTCTTTCACCATGGCCTGGGCAGCATCTTATTTCTTGGTGAACACAGGTGCAAATATTCATTTAACACCTCAGCAATAAACCATGCCTCCATACATGAATCCCTTTTTTAGCCCCAAATCATCCTTCCTCCTGATATTGCCATATTTTTATTAATTATATGACAATAGAAGACTTTAGGAATCCAATTTTTGTTGGCTATCACTCTCCTTTCATACCTTTAGCTTCCTTCATTTTCTTTTTCACCAAACTCTGAATGTTCTATTTTCAGCACAGTTCTCAATTGTATGTCCGAGATAATGACCCAGATAACGTTCTGGGGACCCAGGTTTGAGTCCCACCGCAGCAGATGGTGGAATTTGAATTCAATAAAATATCTGGAATTAAGAATCTAATGTTGATCATGAATCCATTGTCAATTGTTGGAAAAACCCATCTCATTCACTAAAGTCCTTCAGGGAAGGAAACTGCCATCCTTAGCTGGTCTAGCCTACAAGTGACTCCAGGCCCACAGCAATGTGGTTGACACTGAACTGCCCTTTGGGCATTTCGGGATGGACAATAAATACTGCTTAGCCAGCGATGCCCTCATCCCTTTAACGAAAAAAAAATCTGTCATAAAAATACGCTGTTCTTCTTTTTCATAATTTACACTTGATTTGTCACTTAGCTTTGTTGCCCTACCTTCCACTTTTAAGATAATGTACTTGATGGTATCAATAATACCTTATTCTTAAAAGCAGGCCATTGTACAATTACCACTTTTCATATCTTTTAGTCCAGATTATTTTCCACAATGACTGAAGTTAATTTTTCCCCCAGTTAATTTTTCTTACTTCGGATTCATTTATCCTTTTCCACAGTTAGCCAAAACCTCATGATAAAATTATTACTGTCCTTAACTATTCCAACTGACACACTGCCCTCTTCATTTCTAAGAACAAAGTCTCACCGTGCCTCCTCTCTCATTGAACTGGAAACATACCATTGTAGAATGTTTTCCTGAACAAACTATCAAAACACTTGCACTTCACTGTCCACTACTGCAGTATATTTTCTCTAACTTTACTGACTGCAACACGCTTTTCCCCTGGATCATACAAAAAGAAAAATGTTTTCTTATCCAACATCCCCCGCTGTGGTGAACGTCCCCAATGCAGGACACAGGCGAATGGTACGCAGGCGCCGTCCCACCCAGTGTCTAGAGCATGCGCGGTAACCCGATGACAATGGGCAGAGATGCTGTTTTTTCTCATCTGCAGGCGATGAGGCTGCGTGAACGTGGAGGAAGCGCTGGAGGCAGCCAGGAAAAGGGGAGAGTTTGTAAACACTTGTCAAATACCTCAAACTTCGGTGATCAACCACAAGTCCTGGATTTGTGTCCACGGGTCCTTTACCCGAGAACAGCGCATAGTGAACTACCACCATCTTGGATCTCGGTGAACAGAGCGCATGCGTGACCACTTCTGTGACGCAACATAATTGGAGGGGGTGGGGTGGTACTGGAAGATGAGTGTTCGTAGACGGGTCTTGGCGCCCGGTCAGAGAAATCAATTCAGATGACATATTATTTTGAAGCGGCAGCACACACTCTCAAGCTGCTGGTGGTGTTTGCAGCCGATGGGTGCCAATGCAGCCATAACCCTTGATCCCTTTAGCCCTAAAACAAACTATATCTATCTTTTTCTTGACAACTTGGTGGATAGCAGAGCAGGCTCAGTGGGCCAAATCGATTTCATTGGGCCCTGTTTCTTATTTTCACCTAGCGTAACCTATCTGTGCTAAATCCTGAGATAGTAGGAACTACCGATGCTGGAGAATCTGAGAAAACAACGTGTAGAGCTGGATGAACACAACAGGCCAAGCAGCATCAGAGGAGCAGGAAAGCTGACGTTTCGGGTCTGGACCCTTCTTCAGAAAATGCTAAATCCTGCTCTGCCATCCAAGAAATCCATGGCTGATTTGACTGTGGACTTCACTTCAGCTTCTTCTCTGTCCTAGGTATGATGCTGCTGGCCTCTCTTCCAAGATCTTGCCCATGGCCCAGGTGAGTGTTCATGCAGTGTCCACTGTTGCACTTGATATATTACAAAACCAGTGGGCACCCTAAGGTACAGAGTGTATATAGACAAAGGGAGAAACTCTTTGGGACTTCATTCCTGAATTTGGTTTCATTTAGTGTGACAAGGTGACATGTTTTGGGAACTGTTACAGCTGCCCATGACAGAACAGCATAAAATGGCCAACGAAAGTGCCTAACAAGCTTTGCAGGAGATGCCTGACACAAGTTACAGAGTGTGGGAAAGACCTTCCTGATGTGATCTCAGCAAATAAGACAATAGTGGGTCTGTCTTGAGTAAGATTAGATGTGCAGCCGTAACTGCTATCCTAGTTAAGAACATTTCACAACAATTAGTTGTTTCTCTTAAGTTTTGTTTCAGTATATCTGTTATAAAATTAAGAGTAGGTTTAGTCAAGATTCTTCAAGATAATCACAGATATAGATGCCGAAATAAAGGAAATGTTCGAAAACTAATTAGAAGTAATAGAAGGAGCCTGCCTTACCTTCTAGCAAGGACAGTAACTAGCAGGGTTTGACACATACATTGAAATACAATGCATTCTCTGTGGTGGAAAAACTTAAAAGTTTCTGACTGTCTTACAGCCGGGTACGAGATAACAGATTAAAACAGACTATAGCTTCCATAATTAGAAGATAAGGGTTACCTAGTAGTAAAATATTGATCCGAAGTTATAACTTCTTATGCACTAAAATAGTCCAATCCAAACACAACAGCAAGCAATTACTAATATAGAGTGATGTACTAAAAACCCAATCATGTTTGGCAACCCAGCATTAATAACCAATTGTATACAAGGGGAGGTAATAACAAGAAAAACGATAAAATGAGAATTTGTTTGTAATAAATCAGAGCACATTCAACACTGCTGTATCTCGAGTGCCTGTTCTTGCAGAGACCGGTATTTGCTTGAATAAACTATCACATGTCTGAACTCTGCTGCCTCCTGAAACTTATTGCCTCCCAACAGGTCGTTCCCACAAGAACAATTGAGGACATAATGTCCTGTGGAAATGAAAACTGTCTATTCTGATTTCCTGTCCTGCGGTGGTAGTGATACTGACTCTGTCAACTCCTTTCACAGGGAATTAGAAGGAAATAATTTGCAAACAGAAATCCAAGGTCAAATATCACATCTGATTGATTCAGTCAATTCATTAGGATGTCAATGTCATCAGCCTTTGAATGTGGAAGGAGAAATATTTCTCTGTGGGAAAAGATTTCAAACATTGTTTGAACTGGAAAAGCAACAAGACACATTAACAAACACCTGAGTGAGACAGTTCTAGTGAATTGAGTTTGGAAGAGTTTTAACCATGTACACAACCTGAAAAAAAGTGTACCATTCGCAGTGGAGAAAGTATTACAGATTCCCTGTTTCTTCGGTGTAACTCTGTCAAAGTCCTGGAATTTCCTCCCTAACAGCAATGTGGTCCACCTTTACTAAATGGTGTGCATTGGTTCAAGAAGACAGCTCAGCACCACGTTCTCAAGGGCAACGCGAGATGAGAAATAATTGCTGGTCCAGCCAGGGCACCTACAACCCATGAATGAATTTAATAAAAAACAAATATTTAAAGTGTTCTATGTGATTGTAAGTGATCAGGCAACATGGTGACACACAAGGATACCACACCGTGGAGAAAGCATGGAAATGTGTAGATTGTAAGAAGAGATACAAATACCCAGGCCTGCTGGAATCTCATTGATGCAAACACACTGGGGAGAGACTGTTCACTTGCTCCGTCTGTGGGAAGGGATTTGCTCGGTCAACGAGCCGAGTGTCACTCCAGTGTGTTCAAGCTATCATCATCCAGCCTAGAGTCACATAAGCCATCTCACACTGGAGAGAGACCATTCATTTGCTCTCAGTGTGGGAAGAGCTTCAGTCAGTTATTCAGCCTTATTCAGCCTCACTAGACATCGACATGTTCATAGTGGGGAGAAGCCATTCACCTGCTCCATGTGTAGGAAGAGATTCACTTGTTCTTCCCACCTCACCTCGTTTATCATAGGCATGTTCACCCTGGAGAGAGACCATTCATCTGTTCTGTGTGGGAAGTGGATTATTTAATCAGCACAGCTTCTGATACACCAGCGTGGTCACCACTGGAGAGAGACAGTATACTTGCTCCGTCTGTGGGAAGGAATTCACTTGGTCCTCCAATCTCAGCAGATACGAGTTTATTCACACTGATGAGAACTCATTTAATTGGTCTGACTTTTGAAGCAGCAATGATTTGATGAAACACCAGCACATTCATTCTGGGAGAAGCCATTTAGTTGTTCTGTGTGTGGCAAGGGAGTCAATGATTCATCCACACGTCTGAGACACCAGCGAGGTCATATGAGATTGTATTCTACTATTATTACACCCAGGACTGAACCTTGTTCATTCTGACAGCTGGGGTTTACTTCAGTGGATGTGAATAATCTCTAGACTGGTGTTTAATTGTTCAGGTATCAATCACATCAAATACACAGTTTGTGTCCCTGATTTCTCTGATTAGAAGAGTGATAGATATCCAGTTACTGACCTGTTCTTCAGCCTTCATTGTTAAGACAAAATTTGTATTTATGAAATGATTTTCACACAATCAAGATATTCAAATGTGCTTCACAGGAATTGAAGTCCTTGTGAAGTGTAGTCACTGTTGTAGGAGATACAGCAGCCAAATTATGCACAACAGTTTCTCACAAACAGAATACAAAGATGGAAATGCTCAGCAGGTCAAGTGGCATTTATGAGAAGAGAAATAGAGTTGACAACAGAAACAACAATGATAGACACCCTATTCAGTGATGATCACTGAGGGTTTCAGTAAACCTGAAAGACCGGCCCTGTTCTTTGAAATAACTTAATGGAAATTTTTAACTCCACCTGTGAGGGCAGATGTAGCTACAGCTAAAGATTTCCTCTGAAAGACTGGATCTATAACAATGCAGTGGCCCTTAGTCCTGCAGAATATTAGCCAAGCTTTTATGGCAAAGAGTTGGGATGGCAGTTGAACTCGCATCATCCTTACTTGGAGATGAGATAGTAACCATTGAACATTAGTACCACATCATTACTTGAGATTATTTCAGATCTGACACTTCTGAATCACTGAAAAGTTCTGGAGTAGAATGCCAATCAGCCATATCAGCACTGGGTCTGAGCATTATTGCAGCTCTTACTCCTGTGGTTCTCATGAATACCTTCACCCATTGGGCTCTTGGACAAAGGCACGTGTATTCTCTATGTGTGTTTTTAAACAGATGATGATGGTTTCCAGAGCAACACGAGAGCTGATGTTGCAGCAGGTTTTATAGATTTTTAGAAGGTGAATTCATGAAACATTACATGAACAAAAAGATTGGCCTTTCAAAGACTTGGCCTTAACCACTCAGATCATTTGTTATCATTCAAGATAAAGTGCTTGAGAACAGAAGAAGGGGAAGTTACCTCTACATTGATAGCAAGTGCTCTGTCCCTGATGTAAAGTCATCATTGTAAATCATCAAATGTGGGCATAAATTGTTTCTGACACGAGAAATTTATGTAACTTTCTACCTTAACCATTCGTGGGAAATTTCCCTTGAAGTTTAAAAGGAAAATTAAAAGTTTAACACAAACGAATGATAAACAATTTAGGTGATTCCTGAATTTCAAAAAAATGGTTTATTTTGGATGAAATTCATCTGAAGATTAAGAAAACGTGTCAGCTGTCTGAGATTGGGCTCTGATTAAAATAAACAATTCCAGACATAATGTTTATGCATATGTCTAAGCAATAAATGCCAAATAAAATAAACAACAAATAAGCGCATTATGTTTCAAATCAGATCGGAACATTTGAATTCTATCTGATGTTCTGAACATTCATGAATGAAACAGGATGATCACTATAACCGGATGTGTAAAATCGTATGATAAAAAGTGATTGAGAGTTGGAGACAGAGTTAAGGAAAAAACAGCACTGAATTGGATTTGGAATAACTCACCCCAGATGTGGTTAAATTTAATATATCAGCTGATTGCTGATGGATACTCCAGTGAAAGGAAGTTGTTGGAGAGACTAATTAATGG